TTCTCCAATCATCGATATTAGGTCCGAATCAACTATTAGTACTTTGTGATTTAGTCCCTTTCTTTGGATTCAATCCATTTTAGTTAAATTTTTTGGTTCCTTTTGTCTACTTCCATCGTTTTTCATCGAGATGCACCAAACAAACATAATATATACAAAATTAAGCCTCAATTCATTTAAGATAACAATAATTATTCGAGTTTAATGACCGAGATGTACATAATACACTTATCAACAATCACTACAACAAAAGTAGCTTTTTAGGACAATTGTTTACAGTGGGCATATAAAACATGACGTAAAAACGGACTTTTTACGACATGCATTAAATGTGTGCTGTAAAAATTCATTACTTAAAAGTATTTATGAGATACATTTTGGAAATGCCATGAAAGCTGAATATTTATGGCATAATTCTCAAGCATGGTGTGTAGATTGATTTCGAAAATAGTTATGATTTTTAAATTTTATGTAAAGAATAACTCTTTACAGCGTGCACTAATGTGTTTGTTAATAAGAATTAGCAGCAAACATGCTACACACCATAAAAAAATAAAAATAAAAAAAATAGATTTTTATGACATACATTGTGCTTGCAGTAAAAAAACATACGATCAAATCGGGTGATAGGTGAAATTAGAGGTGGGCAAAAATAGAACCAACCCACGGAAACAGACTAGCCCAAACTGAACCGACCGATTGGGTTCTGTTTTTTCTCAAAAATCTGTTGGTTCGATTTATTTTACAGGAAAGTGGGTCAGGTTATGGGTTGACTTGTGAAAACCGACCCAACGCGGCCCGTTACTTAAAAAATTGGAAAAAAAAATGTAAAAACTAATGTTGAAACTTCAAACTTCACAAATCATAATCCTAGTTTACAAACCGTCTTCTCCTTTTTCTCAAGTCGTAGCCACGTTCAACTCTCAAACCCTAAACCTAAATTTCGCTCTCTATCATTCTCTCTCGCTCAAGAGTCAAGCCTTCAACGGTCACCAACTCTATTTCCATCCAAACTTAACGCTAATCATAGGTTTGTACTCATTTTCTTAAAATTTTAAGTTGATTTTTTCATTTATGTTTTGCAAAATGTGATGCCATCTTTGCGTTTTCATATGTTGGGTGTCAGAGAGATGAAAACAGTAATTATGGCCTCGTAATGCTGTAAATCTTTACAAAGATTTTATGGGTATTTTCTTAACCTTTGAATTTTTCATTTTTTTGTTGAAAATTGCATATCTTTTAGCATTTACATATTTTTTATATGCTAAAAATGATGAGTATAGCTATAAAGATATTGTACACATTGCTTCATTTTTTGGCGTCATAACCTTGCTTCAATTTTTGTTGTCCAAACCGACCAATCCAACCCAATTCGACCAAAACTTGACTGGGTTGGGTTGGATTGGATTGAAACACATAAATGGGTTGGATTGGATTGATATTAGATCAAACTAATCAAGTTGGGTTGAGTCAAAAATCGACCTAACCCAACCCACACACACCCCTAGGTGAAATTAAGAGCATGTTTGAGCCGCATTTTGATTGAAGAATACATTTTGGAATAGTAAATTGATGGAGAATTTGTGGTTAAAAAATAAAGAAAATATTTGAATTTATGTGTAATAATATTATGTTATTAAAAAAATGTTTGACTGAAAAGAAGAGAAAAAATACATTGGGAACTCATTCGTATTTATCATTTACACACATCAACAACACATAGAACCAGTGGATGATGCTAAATATCATTCATCTTTCATGACACACCCGTCCTGTGTAACACTACTGGACACGAACGTGGCATGTGTCGATGATAGATACCAACTGAAAGTCGGACCCACAATTAGAGCTATTACAAGTACAATCTACCACTTTTTATACATCATTTTTTAACAGAATTTCGATATTATCTCTCATGTAAACAAGACTAACCAACATATGATCAATTATACACAAATCCCACACTATAATACAACACAATAGAAATAAGTCGAAATCTAACTTTAATTAAAAAAAAAAACATGAAATATATATGTAGATACAAAATACACAGTGAACCCCCTAACCATCTACAAGTGATGCAAAATCACATCTAGACATGAACATGCGTTCCAAAGTACTGAGTACATGTTCTATGAAGTGAGTCATACTAACAAACTATGTTGTGTTGCTCTGACTCCAAAATCAAAGGCTCAACTCCAAAAGTTACCCAGATACTCAACTGCTGCCTGAGAAGGAAAAACATGAGAAAATATATGAGTTGATAGCTCAGTGAGTGGAAAAGTTCAAAATAAATTTACCTTTTCATTTATACATTTTTATTGAAAATCAAATTCATATCATTGGATAATTCACAAGCTACCATCATGTAATTATAGCCAAAAATTGAAATAGTCACATAAAGTCGTAAAATATCATCTTAAAATCATGGTATAAACATAAGCTGAAAAACATGCTATAATTTCATCACATCAAACGTGCTGAAAAATTCACAAAAAAATGTACATTCTGACTGAAATATGTAATCCGCCCCTCGGGCTAAAAACTTT